GAGCTGGACACCTGCCCCAGGGGCAGGCCCAGAGACCAGGGTGGCAGCCCTGGGGCTCTTCGGCCAGAGGCACCAATGGAGGGGTAGGCAGGCCCCTCCCGGCCCGCCAAGGGCGCCCTGGGGCCAGCGGCCAGTCCGGACACCGGCAGGTCCTCACACCCCGCTTTCCCGTCGTGTCAGGACAGTGCTGCAGAATGCTGAGCCTGGCCGCCTGTGTGCGTCCTGCTGGCCGCTGCCTGTGCAGACACGGTCACCCCTCGACACGGTGTGTGTCGCAGGGCCTTGCGCCCCCATGGTGCCCGCTCAGCATCCGCGGGGGCCCTGGAGGGCACAGCTGGGTGCTGGGGGCGGGGTAGGCAGGGCCGCCTCGGGCGGTGTGACTTCCCAGGCCGGGGACACCACACCAGGGCCGGTCAGGCCCGCTGGGGCCGAGGCCCAGGCTCTGCAGGCGCCACAGCGGGTGGGGGGAGGGGCCGGAGAGGCGCGTGTGGGACAGGTGGCCCTGATCTGAGCTCCACCCTTGGAAAATCTGGGGTCGCCTGCCCTGCACAAGTGCCCCCCAAGTTGGCACGGCCCGATTTCCCAGCTGGCCCGGCCCAGGCAGAGGAGGTACCATAGCTGGGACCCGGCTTCAGACCCCCTTGTCTCTGGGAGCAGCAGTGGGGGGCCCCAGGGCGCCTGGCCAGCCCGTGTGGGTCTGGTTTTCTCGGAGAGCGGGGGCCGGTCTCGGGGTGCAGGGTCGGGGCCCAGCTGCCTGCCCAGTGTGCGGGATGCACTCGGCACACCCTGCCGTCCGCCCTGAAAACCGGGAGCCTGGCCTAGATTTGCTGCCCACCCCTGAAACCTCAGGAGAAAAACCGTCCTTTTTTTTTAACCTATAAATGGTCTTGCCCTACAGAAAAAAAAAATGCAGTGGGGGGTGTTTGAAATGGCACCAGGAGCGATCAGAAAGTTCTTTCTTTGACGGCTGGTTCAGGTTTTTTTGAAATCCTGGGGTGGCGGGGGGCTGGGTTCTTACTCAGATGCGGTGGGGTGGGGGAGGCAGGAGTGGAGGTGGCTGGAACCCCGGCAGGCTGGGGCTCCTGGGGCTCCGTGGAATGACAATGAGGCCGGCCCGCGGTCTGTCCAGGCAGGCCTAACAAGATTAGATTTTCATAAATTTCAGACAGCCGGTCCCTGACTCCGGGAGCAGCAGGAGGCCAGACAGGGCTGCCGGCCTGGCTGCTTGTTCACCGGGGCACATCCCGGCTGCCCCTTCGCCAGAGCAGACGCGGGGGTGCCGTGGGGGCCGTCTGGTCTGGAAACCCCCGTGGGCCGGCCGCAGCCCACGCTGACCCCGCTGCCCAGCCTTGGGGTCGGGGAGGGCGGCCCCGCTGCGTCCCCGCTGAACACGCGGGACCGGGAGCCCCGCCGCCGGGCAGCGCTCAGGGCCAGCCCGGGCAGCGCTCAGGGCCAGCGCGCCAGCCCTGCCCCTCTGCAGCCGGGGTGCGCCCCAGCGCACCGCTCCCTGCAGGCGGGGGCCTTCACCTCCACTGCCCCGGACATGGGAGGCCCAGCAGGACCTCTGTCACCGGGGAAACCTCAGCCTCCGTGTCACCTGGACATCGGCAGGTGTCCCCTGGACTGGACATCGGCAGGTGTCAGAGTGACCCCGCAGCCATCTCCCCAGGTCAGCTCCGGAGTTTGCTGACTACTTGCGAATCACTGACGTCCTTCTCAAGCATTCTTCTTCTAGTTTTATGTTCAAGACCGTGTTCGGGGGAAGGGTCAGGTCGCCGGCCGCCAGCTGTGGGCTCAGAGCCGGGCTCTGGCCTCTGGCCCCGGGGAGACCCGCCCGGGTGATGCGGCTGAGGCTGTGCCTGGGAACGAGGCGAGGGGCCCCGTCTGGCAGAGGGAGGCACTGGGTGCACCGGTGGCCGTTGGGGTCTGTGCGAGAAGCCAGGGGTTGCCCGGGGCCCCCTGGGTGCCTGGCCTGAGGGGCTTCTAACTGCCCAGCCCCCAGGCTGGCTTTCAGGCAGCTGGGGTTCAGCCTGGAGCCCACGAGTCCTCCGCCTGAAACTCTGGTTCTGACACTTGGGGCCCCCTTCTAGACGTTGGGGGTGTGGATGCTCACTGGACCCCGCTCCCGTCACCAGTCGCCCGGCCGTGCCCAGCCATTTCCACATCCGAGCTGACAGGCGGTCGGGCGCCTGAGCGTCCCGTCACAGAGCGGAGGTGAGGGCTAAATCAGAAGACACTTGCGAATTTGGGGGGTGCTGGCAGTGCCAGGCCCGAGGTGGGAGCCAGGCAGTACTGGCCCATCTCTGGGGGAGGTGAAAGTCTGGCCACTCAGGAGACCTGTTCTTCTGAAAGTACTCAGGGGCAGGAGGGCGCTAATTAAGTTAGCGTGACCTCACTGGGAAGATGGGCCTGGGCACCCCCAGGACCTGCTCACCCAGCACGCACCCCAAGAGGGAGGTAAGAGAAAGGCCGAGTCCCTCACAGCCCTTTCCCTGCACCCATGTAGACCCAGCAGGCGCTAGGCTGCAGCAGTGGACAGTCGGTTTAGTACAGGACTTGAACTTGACTCAGGCCCTGAGGGCAGCCCTGGGGCCTGGCTGAGGTGTGGGCCTCCGAGGGAGGGAGCTGGTGTGCCTCTGTGTGCCTGTGAGGGTGCAGATGCTCGGGTGGGGGCGTCCCCACCCGCCTGGGCCTCGGTGCCTGAGCAGGGCCTGGGGTCCGGGCGGGCCTGCTGACCCTCCCTCCCCCAGGTGTCGGCCTGGGCCGGCTGCTCTGCTGGAGCTGGCCAGCCCCCGGGGAGCACAGTCACCCAAGGTGGCACCGGGTGCCCCCCCTTTGCCGACTCGCAGCTTCACAAGGCGGGGGCAGAGTCCCCATGGGCAAGGGGCTGGGCGGGTGGTGGGCTTCCGGGGACTCGCAGAGTGAGGTGCAGCCCCCAGCCACACGGGGCCTCGGGACTCTCCTCCTCTGGCCCAGACCCCAGGCGGAGCCCAGAATCAGGCATGTGCCAAAAGAGCACCCCGTGGGCGTTGTCGGGGTCCCCGCCTTGCAGGGTCAAGGCCGGGGCCCATTTCGTCTCTGAGCTCAGCCCCGAGAGACCAGACCCTCCCCCGTCCTGGCCAGCCTGACAGGCGCGGGGTAGGCAGCTGGGAGGGCCTGTTTGCGCCCGCGTGGGCTGCTGGGGCCTCGCCCCTGCCCCCCACTGACCCCCGTGTTGCTCCAAACGGCGCTCAGAAGAGGCAGTGGCCGGCCACATCCCAAGGGCCACCAGGGTCCCGTCCGGCACAAAGGCAGCTCCTCGCTGCCTGCCCCCGGGGCCCAGTGTGGGCAGGGCCTCCAGGGACAGCGGGGAGGGGCAGCGGGTGCCCACCAGCACGGCGGGGCTGGGGTGAAGAGTGCACGGCCCGAGGGAGGAGAATGCGGCCCCTCAGAGGAGGGGCGTGGGCGTGCACAAAGCCAGCTGTGTCCTCTCAAAGGGCGGCTTTATCCAGGCCTCTGCCGCAGCCCCGGCCTGCGGGCTCAGACCAGGCTGCCCGGCCCTGAGCCAGCCGGGGTAGGAGCGAGGTGGCACGGGAACCAGTCTGGGGCCGGGAGCCTTGGCTCTGGCCCAGCCCGGCCCCACCGCCCTAGAGGGAGAGGGAGGGTGACCCGGTGCCTCCAGGCTGGCCGCTGGCCTGTGGCGGGGACCCCAGCCTCGTGGCCGACGAGGGCAATCTCGCCACACCCCGCGGCCATTCTCCCCGACCGCTCCCCGGGCACAGATGCACCTGGCGGGGTCCCCGTAAGCGGAGGGGACCAGGTGTGCGTTCGTCCCTCCACGGGGTCCCAGCCATGGCCTGTGGGCCGTGGCCTGTGGCCGGGGCGTCAGGTACGCCCCGGGAGTGCCCAGGGTCCCGGCACTGCTCATGCCTACGGGGTGGAGCACGCAGTGTGGCCGGGAGGCCGGCGTCCTGCCTGACCTGTGCTGGGGCAGCGGCCAGAGGCTGCGGGAGGCTCCGCCTGAGGGGGCCAGGCGGCGTCGAGAGAGAGAAAAGGGCCTCGAGCGTGTGTGGCCACCTGGAACGTGTTGTTTCTGCGGCTTCTTCGCTGGGTGGGGAAGACACCACCCCCCTGTCCTGCGGGTGTGTGTGTGGGACCTGTGGTTTGTGTGGTGGGGCGCGTGTCCCGTGGCCTGTGTGGTGGGGCGTGTGTCCCGTGTCCCCCGTGGCCTGTGTGGCGGGGCACGTGTCCCCTGTGCCCATGTGTGTGGCGGGGCGCGTGTCACATGTCCCCTGTGCCCGTGTGTGTGGCGGGGCGCGTGACAAGTGTCCCCTGTGGCCTGCTGGCGTGTCGGGTGTGGATCGTGGGGGCTGGCCCCACGCACACGCCACGCCAGGCCTCACGTGCGCCCTTGCCCCGCAGCGGAGCTGGAGTTCGTGGAGATCACGGTCATCGTGGTGGTGGTGATGGTGATGGTGGTGGTGATCACGTGCCTGCTGAGCCACTACAAGCTCTCCGCGCGCTCCCTCATCGGCCGGCACAGCCAGGGCAGGCGGAGAGAGGACGCCCTCTCCTCGGTAGGTGCCCCACCCACCCCGGGGACCGGTTCGGGCGGGGAGGTCCAGGGAGCCGCCCGCCGCCTCTGGAGGGCCGAGGGCCTCAGCGCAGAGGAGGTGGCCGGGAGGGTGGTGGCTCACGCGGACTGGCCACGGCCCGGACCTTGCTCAGCCCAGCTGGGAGGGCGCTTGGGGGGGCCTGGGCCCCGGGCAGGAGACTAGGAGTGGAGGTCGGGCCAGACTGGAGGCAGGACAGTGTCTTCACCGGGGCACTGGGCTGGTAAGGGGGGTCCTGCAGCTGCGGGTGGAGGCCGCCTCCCCCTCCGACCCCACACCCGGTGCAGCCTTGAGGGTGTCTGGCCCGGGCTCTGCCCTCTGGAGACCTGGGCAGGGCCTCCCTGGTGACTGGAGTCTGTGCCCCACTCTCCAGATCTGGCCGTGCCCCTTGGACTGGGCCCTGACCGTGAGGTTAGGGCTCGTCCCCCATCATGTAGGGGTGTCCACCTCCCAGGGGACACAGGGTGAGGGACCGGGCGTCCCCCTCTGGACTCCGCCAGTACTTCCACGAGCTCATCCACCCAGCCAGCCAGCCGCCGTCTGTCCATCCACCCACCCGTCCACCTGTCCGCCCACCACCATCCCCCGTCCATCCGTCCAGTCACCCATCACTAGGCAGGTGTCAGGTGTCTGTGCCCACGGCCGCAGGCTTTGCGTGGGCCCCGCGGATGACGCCACGCGCTCTGACGGAAACCAGGGGGCTGTCGCGGGGACCCCCAGCGGGCTCGTGTAGCTGGGCAGGCACGTGAGGCCAGGGCCACGCTCTGCAGGGCACCTGGGGACAGGCGGGGGTGAGCCGAGGGCCCCTTGCCCACGAGTGGGGATGTGGAGACTAGTAACGCTCGTGGGGCCGCCCCGGCATGTTTATCCAGGGGCGTCTGGGGCTCCCAGGAATATCTCCTCTAGACACCTCGACTCAAGGGCCAGCGGGGGCCGGCCTAGGCCAGGTGCATCCCGCCCTCCACCAGTTGTGGGCCCCCATCTTTCCACGTGCCCGTGGGCTGGGCCCTTCTGCCCCCTGTGGATGTTCTTCAGCAGATGAACCAAAAGGGGGCGCAGGGCTGCCCTGCGAGGCCCCCACTCCCATCCCTGTGCTAACTGGGTGGCCTGGGACCTGTGTCTGGGCTTGCGGGGGTCACCGGCCAAGGAGGCGGTGAGCAGCAGGGGCTGTGGCCAGGGGCGTGGCCTGGGGGGGGCTGGCCAGAGTGAGGGGGGTGCCAGGCCACCTGGTTCCGGGGTCCCTTGAGTCTGGGCCGAGCCAGGTTGGCCAGCAGGTGTCTGTCACCCGCTTGCCAGGGCGAGGAGCATCTGCTGGACCTCGGGGTACCCGCAGTCTGGGCCCCACGTGTGTCCAGGGCTGGGCGTGCTCCGATGGGCCCGAAGCCCAGGCCTCGGGCGCCGGCCCCGGCCCGGGAGCGCATCTTCCAGGGAGGCCCCGCCTGACGCCATCCTCGGGGCCGGGGAGGCGGGAGGAGAGCCGGGTCCGCCCACCGCGACCGCTCGGCCGCAGAGTGGCAGCCACGGGGAAGCCGTGGCTCGGGAAGCCGTGGCTCGGGGAAGCCGTGGCTCGGCGAAGCGGGCAGGCCTGTGTGGCACACGCAGCTTCGCGGGGGTGGGGCACAGCACCCCCCGGCCCTCCCGTGCTGGCGCGCCCGCGGCCTCCGTGCCCACCATGTAGTGGGCAAGCCCGGCTCTCCTCCCGCCTCCCCGGGAAGATGGGGGCGCCGGCCGCCCCGGGGCAGCCCCTGGGGCTCCCTGCCCAGACAGGCGGAAGGGCCCCGGGGGCCGCTGGACACCTGAAGATGAGGGCGTCTCCCCATCGCCGCCGTCTGCTGCCGCCTGGTGGCCCCAGGGGCGCCCGGCTGGTAAACACGCAGCCCTCGGAGGCCCGAAGCCAGCGTGGTGGCCCCGGGGGCCGCGTCCTAGCGCGCGGTGGCGTCGTGGCTTCCCAGGGGACCCCGTCTGCCTGGGCTGGCTCCCCCCAGGCTGCCCTGCCCGGGCCCTTCCGGCGCCCCCCGGGCAGTTGCAGCTGGAGCGCCTGGAGTGCCAGCAGCCTGGGCTGAGGGCGTGGGCCTGTGACGGCCCGGCCCGGCGGCGGCCCGCTGGGCTGTGTGCTGCGCACTGGGGCCGGCGGGGCTGGGGAGACTCTGCAGGCTGTGGCGTGTTGCCCTGCGTGAGCGGGCATTGCCGAGCTGCCACGCTCAGCGGTGACTGCCCGACGGCCAGGCTCACGGTGAGGGTGTGTCTGCGCCCGCATCCCGGTGACCTGCAGACCCCGGCCGGAGCTGGGCGGGCGAGCGCCAGCCTGACCTTCCTGAGAGCCGCAGAGCCCCTAGTGGCCCAACGGGAAATTGCACCCCGGACTCAGGGGGACTCTGCTCACCTGTGCCCCAAAGGTCTCAGTGGGAGGTGTCCAGGGCCCCCTAGGGAGAGGGGGTGGTGTCTGCAGCCCAGGCTGAGGCCTGGGGCAGGGGCAGGCCAGGCACTGTTGCCCGCGCCGTCCCGCGGCTGACCTTCTTGCCTTTCAGCCCCGGTGAACCCTGACCCCGCCTGGTCCCCACGGCCCCCTCACCCCCTATTTCCCTCACGGCGTTTCCCGTATGTGCCGTGACCTTATTGATGTATCGACAGTCACGTGCCACGTGACGGTGGGGGTCGCGTTCTGGGGACTGAGCGGCCAGGTGATCTCCCCCGGGCCGACGCCAGGGCGCGATGACCGCCTGAGACGGGTGGCCTCCTCCGCCCGGCCATGAACAGGCGGAGGCGTGAGGGACCCCTAGTGTGGCTTGAACTGGCAGGCGGGTGTGTCAGAGCGGGGGTCCCCCACACTGAGCTTGCCGCCTGGCTCTGGGGAGCTGCGGGCTGGGCCTGGACGCCAGGCAATGGCACCACACCCCACCCTGCAGGGTGACTGGACGATATTCCCTGGTGAGGCAGCTCCCCTCTGGCTTTGCCATCAGCAGGCTCCACGGCGTGGGTGGCCAGGCAGCTGTGTCCAGCCGGCTGCCTGTCACTCAGCAACGGCCGGGCAGTAGGGGGCTCGCAGGCCGGGGTTCCGGAGGCCGCGCCCTGTGGCCGGGCGGAGGCGGCCACGGGGGCGATCACCTGACCGCTCAGTCCCCAGAACGCGACCCACGTGACGACGTGGCACGTGACTGTCGATACATCAATAAGGTCACGGCACATACGGGAGACGCCGTGAGGGAACTAGGGGGTGAGGGGGCCCGGGGACCAGGCGGGGTCAGGGTTCACCGGGACTGAAAGGCAAGAAGGTCAGCAGCGGGACGGCCCGGGCAAAGGCTCTGGGGTGCACCCCGGCAGGTTGCCCTGGTGGGGGGCACCCAGTGTGTCCAGGGGCTCGCCGGGAGCCACGTCCCCGCAGGTGTTTGCACGTCCTGCTGCTTTGGGGTCTCGATCACCCACACGCTCGGTGCGGCGACTGCAGCTGGCTGGCACCGTCCGCGTTCACACAGCCGGTGGGCGGTAGCCACGGCCAGTGCAGCCATCGGCTGTGTTCCATCGGCTGTGGGAGGGCTTGAGGAGGGGGACCCACCCGCCAGGTGGACGCTCCGGACAGTGGAAGAGGAGATGCATCTTGGGGGTCACCTCCAGGAGAAACACCCCAGCCCTGCGGGGGCGGCTGCAGGCCAGCCGGAGGGGCGAGACCTTCTCCGTCTGGAGATCTCAGGGTCAAGCTGCGTCGCCCCTTCACTCCCGCCTCTGCCCACCCACTGACCCTGCCTGTCCCCCTCCTCCCCACGCAGGAAGGATGTCTCTGGCCCTCTGAGAGCACTGTGTCGGGCAGCGGACTCCCCGAGGTGAGACCAGCTCAGACCCCTCCACAGCACCTGTGGCCCCCACTTGTTCTGCTCCCCCCCAGCTGCCCCCCAGGTGGCCACGGCGGACAGTGAGTCGCCTCGCCCGCCGCCTCCTTCACCAGGCTGCTCGTCCCCCCCCCGCCCTTCCTTGGCTGGCGGGACCCTGCCCGAGGCCCGGCCCGGCCCGCGGGGGAGTCTGAATATGTGTCCAGCACGCCAGGGGGCGGCTGGCCCGTGTCCACCCTGGGGGAGTCCCCGCTGCGGGCTCCCGAGGCCCGCCGGGCCCGCGCCCCCGCCCCTTCGGGCCCGCCCGCAGGGACTCACTCCACTCTGCCTCGCCAGCCCCAGGTGTTCGGCCCGCCTCGGCCCGCCGACCGCCTGGCAGTGCCCCTGTTCGCCCAGCGGGACCGCTTCCAGCGCTTCCAGCCCACCTACCCCTACCTGCAGCACGAGATCGACCTGCCGCCCACCATCTCCCTGTCGGACGGGGAGGAGCCCCCCCCCTACCAGGGCCCCTGCACCCTGCAGCTGCGGGACCCCGAACAGCAGCTGGAGCTGAACCGCGAGTCGGTGCGCGCACCCCCAAACAGAACCATCTTTGACAGCGACCTGATGGACAGCGCCGTGCTGGGGGGCCCCCGCCCCCCCAGCAGTAACTCGGGCATCAGCGCCACGTGCTACGGGGGCGGCGGGCGCATGGAGGGGCCGCCGCCCACCTACAGCGAGGTCATCGGGCACTACCCCGGGTCCTCCTCCTTCCAACACCAGCAGAGCGGCGGGCCGCCCCCCTTGCTGGAGGGGACCCGGCTGCAGCACGCACACATCGCCCCCCCGGAGACCCCGGCCGCCTGGAGCAAAGAGAAGGACAAACAGAAAGGACACCCGCTCTAGGCCCGGCCGGCCGGCCGGCGGCCGCCGGGCGCAGACACTCG